AATTTGCGTAATGATCTTCAAGCCAATAAAATTTAATTTTTGCGTGATATCTGGAAGGGAGATCGTCACATAATTTAACCAATGAAATCAAATGTCCACTATGCTACCTGCAGGTAAATTAAATTTATGACCCGACTCGAAATATAAGAAACCAGTCCCGTTTGGAACTCTAATTTTTTTAATTTAACATTTTTTTGTAGCAAATTCTTGTTGTTCCAAGAATCTTTTTGCAGTTTCAAATGTTTTCCTTCCTACTTCTATAGAAATAACTGGTTCATTTCATTTCCTCTTTCTCTTACATTTCAACATCTTCAGTTTGTGAAATGAGAAAATATTTTCATTAGTAGGCAATTCAGTTGTTATAATATCTTAATCAATTCTTTGTTGTTAAAGGAATCAACCAAGTTGCCATAAAAAAAAGAGAATAACTCATAATTCATTTCTTTGTTGTTTATTAAGGAACCAGCCAAGTTTCCACCAAAAAAAAAGAATAGTTCATAAATAATTTCTTCAATCAACCAAGTTCACCATCAAAAAATTACATAAATGATAGGTTACACATGTATATCATGTATCATTCAATTGAAATATAAAGTTTATATTAAAATAATATAGGGAAATCTGTCAAGCTTATATGTGGGATTTAATTATAAATAAAGGGGAATATAAAAGAGGTATGACTGTAGTTAGTTTTCGTGTCAAAATTATAGTTGCTTGCCAAAACACCCCCCAGGAATCAATCAGCAGAGTTTTGACATGTTACACACTAATTGCTTATTAGAGTATCGGCAGGGTTTCACATTTGTGGGTTTTGACAATTGGCAGAGTTTCAGCAGGTTGCATACTAATTGTTTATTAGAGTTTTGGCAGTCATTAAAAGGTTTCAGCAAGCAACCTTAGCAAAAATTCACTCAACTAAAAGGCAGATTCTAGTTTAATAATAATAATAAATAGTAATAATATCCCTTAAACAGTTTTTCAGCTATTAATAGCTGAAATTTTTTTTCTGTTATAAAAAAACTTTTTCTGAGGGTATCACTTCCTAATACAAACATGATCTTTGAGATTCAGCTGATTGATCTGTAAATAAAATTCGGTTGTTGTCCTTGTAGTTTTCATAAAACCTTCTTTAAGGTAGGGAATTCTGATATTGAAAGCAAGTTCTAGAAAAGAAAGAATTGGTTGATGTGAGCCACATTAATGTCAACATACCAATACCAAAAAGAAAAAGATCAAGGGTGTTATATGTGTTGAGTTATTATTGTGAACCCAGGAGAAGGTGTTGCTGATGAGGTGAACAGATCATTGTTCACCAAATAGGCAGGATCGAAATCAAAACCCATGACAAAAAATTCAGCCTTGGTTTATAGCGAAGCTAGTGATTTATCACATAGTATTAATAATACTTTGTGGTCATGGCAATGAATGTACCTACTATTATAATCAGAGCTGATGAGGAATTAAAAATTGTTCTTCGTCTAATCTACTATCATGTACTCAAATTTTATTCAAACACGAAACAGTTACAAAAGGCTTGTTGGAGAGAAGGGTACAATCATTTTTTCCTGCAAGATATCAAAAGTGGTTAAAGAACCAATATGTTAACCAAATCCATCGGCAACCACAAAAAATCAAAGCTCAAGCAGGATTCGGAAAGATTAAAATTCCTAATTGTGTTCATCAATGCGATTTATTACCTCATGTTTGTGATGACCAGGAAAGTGGAAAAATATATCTTTATACTTTGGTAGTCATAGATGTCGCAACTTGCAATAAAAATGGACGTTTTCTAACATCGAAGAATAGTTTAGAAGTTTGGAATGCCATCAAAGAAATTTACAATGATCCCAACAATCCTCTCACATGGCCAAAATTATTGATGCTGGATGGTGGTAAAGAATTCTCTGGACACTTTGCACGAGGAATGGAACGTCATAATGTACATATTTAGGTCGTTGACCTTTACAGTTTCGAAAGTCTAGCATTGGTCAAAGTATTGAAACGAAGATTAGCGCAAATAATATACAAAATTCAATATGCTATAAAATCTAAATTACCAGCAGGAGAACGTTCTACATTATGGAATATGATTCTTGAAGTAATTTTTGATAATATGAACAACAGTCCTACACGATTAATTAGAATGACCCTACCCCATGCTATGATGTTGGAAAAAGTGATCCCTAAACCCCTCATTTTCACCGCTCTATGTAATCATAGGGAAATTCAAAAAAAAAAAGATTCGTATTTAATGGTCAATGACGAAAAAATACCTCTTAGTAATATCATTGAAAATCCGGGACAACCAAAAGAACATAAAGTAGAAGGATTACGATTAAAATTAGAATACATTAGTGCCGAACGAGGAAGCTTCCAAAGTGATGCAGGCGGAGGTAGCATCAAGAGAGAATAATGTATACGTTTTTATATATATTTAATAAAAAATTTTTACACCTTTTTTGGGTACTAGTTTTATAATTCATTACTTACACGATACGAAATATCGAATGGAATCCCTGGGTCTTTGGTTTTATCGCAATGCAGATAATAATGTTTATTGCCTCAATTATCTAACCATTACTTACTGTCCAAACTCATATGATTTTTTCTACATAGTTGACAATGTAAACCGAAAACCCAATAGACATCAGATTGATGTTCATCTTTCTTATCTATGTTAAAATTGAATGTTTCAATACTTTGATATAGTACGTCATTATACATAAGATACGTCTCGCAAATCTAAAAATAACAGACGCAAAACTCAAGGTAGATTCACCGATAATCCTAAACAGTATATGCAATTTTTAAATTGGAATAAGTACATGCAAAGAAAAGACGAAGATCACATTACTATCATAAATAAGAATACGCAGGATGTGAAAGCGAATTTTGATTATGTAGAACTATGCAAATATTTAGATGTAAATAATCTTGACTTGGGTATTCCCAACATGTAGTGGGAAATAGACATAATCCATACGTATTATTTATTAGCTTATTTTTTCGGCGCTTTGCGTCGGCTTACGCTGAATATATGTAATCTCGACCACCTAGGTCAGTTTATTGATATATAAAAATAAATAAATTATAAGATGAAAATATATAAAATGTTTTTCCATATTACCTTGATATTTATTTATGTGTTGGTGAGGCTTGGATGAACGTTTCGAGGTGGATGGGTACTAGCTTGTTCTAATGCCTGTATTAGTAAGCTTTTATTTACGATCATAATATTTCTTAAGGTCAATAATAAAACGAATGAGGGATCTAGTGTACAATTTATGTTGAGTTAATGGGATTTCAGCATGGTCAACGTGGAAGTATCGAGGTATACCAGCCAGATCTTTCACAAGAATATTTAAATATATAATAGAACCAGCGATCTGAATTCCTACAATTCCGAATTGGTTACCGACCGGTCTATATAATTCACTGATAAAACTTGCACCGTCCAATGCTTCTCTCCATAATTTTACATCATCATCTGCCTTCTTTGAATTGTTGCATAAAATATGCAATGATTCAGTATATACTAACTCTAAAATTTTTTCATCTTGAATCGATAGTCCCATAACATCAGGCTTCTTTCCCATCCGATTTTCATTGGTTGCTAGATTTCTTCGAGCTTTACTTGCTAAACTTTGCAGCTCTGATGTGCTCAAGCAGATACCACCATTTGGAAGGTCGCCTAAACTCTCTCGAAGTAAAGGAATTATAACATCCGTAATATACGTTCCTTCACTCTGCTAATTGCGGGATGTACCGGTCGTAAATGCAGGATTCTTCCATATCTCAGCACTAATGAAAAATATATTATAAATGCGTTATTATATGAATGTAGATGGACATGTTTTTTCACTAATAACTTATAGTATATCTAGAATACATTTTGTTATTTTTAATATCTCAGACTCGTCTTCTTTCCAACGCTTATCATGAAAAAAGGTTTCTCATATATCTTGAAATGTTTAATTCATTAAAATTATCTATAAAATTGTTGCACTTATATATAACCGATCACATTTCATGTTTTCACACGGTTTTAGAAAAACACTCTTCTGTCTCTGTTCTAAGTTTTTTACTATCTCTGAATCATCACACTAAGAACCATACTTGCTATTGGGTCTCGCCACGTAAGTTCTGAGGGGTTAATATTATGCATCTTTTTCTTTAGAACGTCATATAAAGGCGCATCCATATTCGTCATAGGATGCTAAAAAAACATATTTAATTAAATTACAGAGTATACAAGAATAATTAAAGAATGATTTAACACCTACATTAAGCTTCTCTTTAACAAATTAATATTCCGTTCTATTTCTTCTCTCGTATGATCGGGTGTTCTTTCTCTGTTCTATATAATTTGGTTAGCCTATAATCAAGCAAATATCTCGATCTATGTTATAAGATAATGTACCATATTCAACGCCTTTATCACGTTTAATCCCACTACACTTTTATACCCGTTTTCCATCTACGGCAGATATATTAATTGATACCGGTATGTTAGTTTTGTGATCACAAAAATCTAATAGATAATATTACTTTTGCGCACGTGATCAGGTATTACAATTCTTAATCAATACTATTTTGGATGTAGTAGTCACGCACAGTCAGGGAGGAGTAGAAACCCTCGACATCTGAAGGACCTCTTTTTCCTAACAACATCGCTCTTCCGGGCCAACATTCCCCAACCTTCAGCAGTGACATACCAAAAAAGAATTTTGATACAGCCGTAAATTCATCATTACGTGTGGATGATTATCCACGAAAATAGTATTTTTATATATAACACTAACCTGAGGTAAAACTTCTAATACTTTCATTCTTCTTTCTATTTTTGTTAATGCTGAATTAACCACACGGTCTGCTAAGTCTCTAACGCTATTGTAAGGAGGAATAATAGTACCTTCCATTGTCAAATAAACAACTGTCACTCCACAGATAGTGTTGAAGGATCCTTCCAACAAAAATTTCTCAATTTTTATTACTAAGTTTGACATAGTTTTAGAGAGATAGGTTTTTTTTTTTAATATAAAGAATAAGAATTCAGCTAAATCACTATTAATCTAATATTTATATCCATTAGATGAGAAACTATAAATATGATACTAAATTTTAAAATTAATCATTGAATAATTAATGATTACCATTATTATTACCAATAATTGTTACTTTATTGGAATTCACAGGTTGGGAAAGGTTTGTAAAATTTAATAATCTGCTAGTATAAACAGCATTTGGATGAATTACTGTAGTAATTATTGAAGGATCAAATTTTATTTCATCCATTTTCTCAAACTCTTTTCTTATTGATTTTAATTCTTCTTGTTGTTCTTTTGAATATCCATAATGCTCAGGATTATTCATTTCATGGTCAGTAAGTGAATTAATCCAAAGTTTAATAATATTATGAATTTCTTTAGCAGTTGGACGTTTATCTGGATTAGCATCCATGCATTTGAATGCTAGTTCAATATAGAATCTTGGTGTATTGTTTGAGAATCCAGGTCTTGCACCTTTACATATATTCATTGCAAGATATTCATCATGTGCCAAATTATTAAATGGTTGTTGACCAGTTGATATTACAGACATCAGAACTCCAAAACTGTATATATCTGATGCCATTGTATATGGTTTCTCCTTTAAAACTTCTGGTGCAATATATGGTAATACTCCACATATATCATTTTTGTCTGATGATAATGATTTAGCAGAGCATGATAATCCTAAGTCTGCAATATGTGAATACTTTTTATTACATTGAAGAATATTACCACTATGAAGATCACGATGAATAATTTTTTTTTTATGAATATCTTTTAAACCTCTAATAATATAATAAAGAATTTCAGTTTTCTGCCTCCATTTTAAGTTTTTAAAATCTTTAGTTAAATAATTTTGAAGATTTCCATCTTCCATATAATCCATTACAAATATATATTCTTTTGTAATTGGATCTTGTGTTAATCCATAAATATGAATTATATCATCTTTACCATGAAACTTTATATAATTTTTGAACTAAAATGACAAATAAAATATTTAATTACAACAATAATAATCAATAATATTTAAAAGAATCAGAAAATAAATAGAAAATAAAATGATTTACCTCATTAAGAAATTCATCAGAAATATTATGTGAATTATGTAATTTTTTTAATGCCACTGGCATATCATTACTAATTCTTTTAATTCCATTAGTATATCTAATACCATTTAACCAAGTAGCTTTGGATATAGTTGCAAAACCACCTTCACCAATCCTTTCAATATTTATTAAATCATTATAAGGAATCCATTGGAGATGATTACCATAATAATACTTAGTTGCTTTAAGTTGTGTACTTTTAATCAGCTCATCTAATGTTTCATTACCACTGGTCCATCCTTCAGTTAACAGCTTTGGATCACATGATTGACACCATAAACGATGAGTGTTATATCTATTGCAGGTTGGACATTCCCCATATTCTTCATCTCTTTTCTTTGAATATTCATCATTTTTGTCGGTAGAAGTATCATCATGATATTTATTTTCATCCAAAGTGTTTTCCATTATGGTTTTTTATTATATTTATCTAAGAAATTTTTTCTAACTTTTTTTTCAGCCACAAATATGTATCTCACAAAATATTAATATATTTAGTATTGGATTTTCTGTTAAAAACAAAATTTACATGAATTACAACAATTCAGCACTACGCAAATAAATTCGGCATGCACCTAAAGTCGTTAAAGCCATGAACCATAAAACTGTAATAAATATTGCAAGCGTGTGATCTGAGTTATTGGAGTCACCAAATCTGGCAAACTAAATTAAAATCAATATACTGCTTGATTAGGGTTTCTATTTGAATAAGGTTTATTCAAATTATTTGTTTTACTCGCTATGAATTTGAGTATTCGAATTACATTAAAAGTTTATTCGATTAAAGTGAATAACGAATAATTAGATAGTTTGATAATTCAAATAAAACGAATTAACAGATAATTCAAATAAGACATATAAATTTGAACTATTTGAACTATTCAAACAAAACAAGAAATTCGAATAATTCAAATAAACGGATAATTTGAACAAAACAAATAAAATAAAAAACGAATAGCTCAAATAAAACGAATAAGCAAAATAAACGAATAATTCGAATAAAACGAGTAATTCAAATTTGATAAAGTGAATAATTCAAAATAAAACAATAGTTCGAATAAAATGAATAAATAATTCAAGCAAAACGAATGATAACAATTCAAATAAAAGAATGATAACAATTCGAATAATAAACGAATGACAACAATTCGAATAAATGAACGATAACAATTTGAATAATTCAAAAATTTGTACCACAAATAGAAACTCTGCTCTATTGTAGAGTCACCAAATCTGGCTCACAACCAATAATGTTCCAACTAAACTAAAATAACCACATACAACATACAACTACAATACTTGAGGCATCCCTACAAGCAATATAGTAAAACCAATAAAAGGGGTTCCTAACTAATAATTAAATGTTGGCCAAACCATTAATCAT